GGTGCTATTTATCCAGAAACTGTATCCGTGTGATCTCGAATAATACGTCAGAGTAAGGCGTAAAAACTTGTAAATAAAGCGACATGTTAACTGATTTACACATTCACTGTCCTGTAACAAATATAAAGCTGACATATTATTTTGCGGTGGCTTATATCCTATGCCTTGTACGAGCGTGTGGTTTGTTATCTGAATATTTTATTTCGTTTTCCACGTATTACATTAAAGATAAAGGAAATTGAAAAAATGCAGACTGGGTATAATTCCAACAAATATTTAGTGCTATTTTTAAAGAATACAGAAGAAAACCAAAGGGGCTTTTAAACTAATGACGGGTGATTTTGGGAAATGCTATTTAAAATAAATTAAGCTGGACCTAAGTAATCCGTAAATCAATAACTATTTTAACAAATAAACAACCTTTATGAAATAATAATGTAAGGGTTATGTAAGTGCGTATATTTGAATTGTGATGTCACTTTACAAAGGTAAACATACATACATAAAATAGAAAGAAATAGAGGGTGTCCCGTTTACACTAACAATGTCAAAATTGGTGAACAAATAAATATCAATTACATCTTAAAAATTTTATTCCTAATAGCAGTTGCGTAGATACAGGTAGTTTGAGGGCTATAATTGAAGGAAAAATATGTTAAAAGAGAAACATTTCTTAAACATCCTAAGGGCTTTGCAAACCCCAAAGGATGATACAAAAAACAGGTGTACTAGTTGAAAATCGATTTTTCGAGGAAACGAAGATGAAGACATTTGTGCAGCACGCAAAGACACATAACATATAAAAAAATTAAGCCAATTTAACAGAAACCACTTTTCCATAAGGATTGTGCGGGGTCCTTTATTGGAACATACTTTGCCAGATCTATTAGATGCGTTCTTGAATATTAGAAGAGAGTTATGGTACATGCATGACCACATTATACGCGACAGATCTTTAATAATAATCAGCTTGCTGAGCAATAGATTTGATGTGGGTAAGATGCAGCTCTAAATTATTGGCCTGTCAGGTCACCCACCTGAATCTCTCAGATTTTTATTTTTGAAGATTCATGAATGGGTAAGTTTATTCTACTTTAGTACACAAAATGTACTCTAGTCTATTTTGAAAACAGTTCGTTATCATCGGTAACCCATCAGTTTATCTATATAGGTTGCACTAATTTACCTAAGGAAATTAGTTAATTTGTCTAATTGAATAATTAAATAGTTCACTTTAATAAAAAATATATTAACGAATTTGACGTCTAACGATTATCCCCAAAATAAAAATTGATCTGCTCCTACAAGTTTTTATAAATTCATGCTGATACAAAGTTGTATGGACTATTATATTTTAATTTAATGACTATAATAATCAGGTTTAGAACAAATCTTCATCGTCGTCATTATATTTGTAGCAAAAAACCTTGAAATTACTAATATAAATAAGGCAGATATTCTTATATCGTTTTCTTATTAAAGGCAAAGTAGCACTTGTGTAAATAATTGCGGCAGCATTTTTGTAAACAATGAATAACCACAGCATAAAAGTAAAGAAATGAGTACTTTGTCTACAATGTCTTCAAGGTATTTGTTGTTAACTGTTAAAAATAAACATTTGCCTTCACGAGACAAACTGGTTAATAAGTATGTAATTTTAAAAGCAGTTTGAGTTTGCAAATTATCGTTAATAATATACAATTCACTATTCTACAGATAATAGGCCAGGAAAAAGAGCTGGGAAATGACCATTTTGCGACTTTTTGTTTCGGCAAGCTGAATTTATCACTATAGATGCTAAATATTATGTACAATAACATATTAGTTTCTGCAGTCATAAAAATGGGGGGAAAATTGTTTTCAGGCTGGTTAATTGTATAATTTTTAAGTGAATTCACTTTTTTCGCTTATAATTTTTTTCCGTTCATTTCTACGAGAAAACAGTAAAGTACTTTTTTTTCGTCTTCGAAAGACCTACAAAACTAGCTCTCAGCGTCAAAAAATATTGATTAGATCAAAAGTTCTAAACAGAAGAAGTTTATTTATGACTTTTGAATTAAACATTTATAAACTGCGTTATTATTACCGGAACGTTTTGGTATCGCATCCTCTCATTCCTTATCACTGTATAATAACTCACACGAAACCTGGAATCGGTAAGTTGAATAGTTTACAAGTTATGGCCTTATAAACAAATTAACTAATTATTATTAGTCTGGACGATCCCGAGTATCTTCCACAATCGCACTGATTTTTTCGTGGTAGATTTCATAATAATACATTGAAATCTATCATTTTCTTTTATTTCAAATTTGCAACCTGTAATTTATTTTTTATTTTTTAGCCTTAGTTGCAAATTGAAATATACGACGCACGCGCATGATGATGTTACATATTCGGAAAGCTTATGAAAAGAGCTTTAGGTAAAAAAAAATCGTTGAAAAACAACGGAGTTACAGACTGTCAAAGTGACGGCCTATTGTTAAACAAATTATGTTGGTAGCGGCAAAAAGAAATACTGTCAAACCGGCAACCCGAGTACTTTCCCAGATAAAAATATTTTATTTGTGGAAGTATGTTAAGTGCATAAGAAATGTTATCAAAAGTCAGTGGGTCGCTTGATTTTTCGGCGAGCCGTGGCGCGGCGGAAGGGTGGGGGAAGCGAACGACAGCGAGTCCGAAGAAAATTACAATAATATTCATAGTCCTGCCGTCAAAAAAGCGAAATTTGCTTGAAAATAATATATTTGACAGTCTGTAACTCCGTTGTTTTTCAACGAATCTTGATGATTTTTGTTTAATTTAAAGCTCTTTTCGTAAGCTTTCCGAATATATAATAATATACAGGGTGTTAAAAAAGAGTGTAAAATATTTAAGGAGGTATGAACCAAAATAAGCAGAAAAGTCTCAATAAACATGGGTCCGCAAAGTAACGGTTGCGCAGATATGGAATGTTTTATGTTTTTTAGCCCCTTTTTTATGTTGCAAAAACGTTGTGTATTTTCTTATAATAGTTGGTTGATGTTTAGTGAAATAAACAGTACGTATTTGACAGTTGTTCTCAGTGCACAAGTTTTCTTTCGCTATGGCTGGTTACTCTAACACAGAATTAACAGACATGCATTTCATGTATGGTCGTGCTAATGGGAACGCCACCGAAGCGCGACGTCTTTATGTTGACGCTTATCCAAATCGCCAGATTCCTTCACAACGCATGTTTGGAAGAATTCACCAAAGATTGCGTGATACCGGTTCCTTGAGCAAACAGTGCCATTTATCCGGAAGACCAAGGTCGGTATCCACTCCTAGAGCAGAAGAAGAAATTCTAGCACTGGTAGAGCAGAATCCAGGTACGAGTGTGCGGAGAATATCAGCCGAGGTAGGAATTAGTGGTCCTCTTGTTTGGAGAATCCTTCACGAGCAACTGCTTTATCCATACCATGTGCAACGAGTACAGGCCTTAAATCCAATAAATGATCATCAAGCACGTTTGGTTTTTTGCCGCTGGTTTCTACGTCATGATGCTGAAGACCCTCGTTTTCTTGCAAACATTCTTTTTACTGATGAGGCCGGGTTCACAAGAAATGGAGTGTTTAATTTTCACAATACGCATATTTGGGCCGACGAAAATCCTCATGCTCTAATAGAATCTGGACATCAGGCACGTTTTTCATTAAACATTTGGATGGGTATTGTAGGTGACAGGTTTCTAGGTCCTGTTGTTTTACCAAACCGATTAACAGGCGCTGCTTACCTCAACTTTCTGCAGAACACACTGTATGAGTTTTTGGAAGACATTCCTTTGAATCAGAGGCAACAAATGTGGTTCCAGCATGATGGTGCTCCAGCTCATTTTTCCATGGCCGTTAGAGAGCATTTACACCAAACTTTTCCACATAGATGGGTAGGAAGGGCCGGACCTGTTTTATGGCCTCCAAGATCGCCTGATCTGAACCCTCTAGATTTCTTTGTTTGGGGATATTTGAAGACATTAGTGTATGGTACTCCTGTAAATAGCCTGGAAGAGCTGCAGCTACGGATTAATCAAAAGTGTCAAGAAATCCAAACCAATGAGGGTGTTTCGAAAGAGTTCGAATATCGTTGAGACAAAGATGTCGTGCCTGCTTGGAAATGGACGGAGGTCACTTTGAACATCTTCTGTAACTTTGTTTTTTGCTTGTTAAAAGCTTTCTTTGTCGGTTTATTCCTAATAAAATAAAATGTTTGAAAAACGAATAGTGGTCCATATCTACGCAACCGTTACTTTGCGGACCCATATTTATTAAGACTTTTCTGCTTATTTTGGTTCATACTATTACCTCCTGAAATATTTTACACTCTTTTTTAACACCCTGTATAACTATATCACGCGCGTGCGTCGTGTATTTCATTTTGCAACTAAAAAATAAAAAAACTTTCCTGATTGCAAATTTGAAATTTAAAAAATAATGATAGATTTCAATGTATTATTATGAAATCTATCATGAAAAAAATCAGTGCGATTGTGGAAGATGCTCGGGATCGTCCACACTAACAATTAGTTAATTTGTTTATAATGCCATAACTTGTAAACTATTCAACTTACCGATTCCAGGTTTCGTGTGAGTTATTAGACTGTGATAAGGAATGAGAGGATGCGATGCCAAAACGTTCTGGTAATAATAACGCAGTTTATAAATATAAACTTCTTCTATTTATAACTTTTGGTCTAATCAATATTTTTTTACGCTCGAGGGCTAGTTTTGTAGGTCTTTAGAAGACGAAAAAAAGTACTTTACTGTTTTCTCGTGGAATTGAAGGCAAAAAAGTTATGAGCGAAAAACGTGAATTTACGTAAAAATTATACAATTAACCAGCCTGCAAACAATCTTCCCCCTATTTTTCTGACTGTGGAAACTAATATGTTATTATACATAATATTTAGCATCTATAGTGATAAATTCAGCTTGCCGAAACAAAAAGTAGCATCCAACTCTATATTTCCTGACTAATGATTATACCTTTTCCAATTCCAGTCAAAGTTTGTTGAGCGTCGTTATTCCCTACTATGTTCCTATCATTATCGGTATTGTTTTTATTTTGCGAAGAGCTATCTTTCTCAAACGAATAATTGTCTATTCCCTCAGATGTGTGAAACACGTTTGATTTAACTGTAACTTTATTCTCACATTTCTGTAAATTATTCACACAGTCAGCTGAAATGGCACTGTTGGGGTACACTATCTGTTTTATAGTCACAGGGCCCTGGTATACAGTTTTATTCCCGATGTGTACGTCTGTTGAGTTCACTACCGAAACACTTTCAATCGTCGGTAGGCCGGCCTCACTTGACACAACAAGTGCGTCTTCGATTTCATCGTCACTATCACTATCCCTACAGGATGAGGTACTGACGTTGTCCACCTGGTATTCGTGTACATCGGTGCTTTGGGAACTGTGACTAGTGGGACTGGAAGGCAGCGACAAGGTCGTCTCCTTCATTACTGACCCGGAATTAGTTTAGTGCACATCAACTGTGCGACATCGACACGAACCCATGGACATTTCGCACTCAACTGGGTTTGTTTTCAGTGTGGAGATAAAGTCGAGGTGCCGTGGTTTCACTCTGTGCTTGTCAGTGGCGTAGACGTAATTGGTGTGGCGCTGTGGCGACAATTCCGTGGCGAGAGTTCCTTGGTCTATCTGCAACAAGTAGAAAGTTTGGTTACTAATAAAAAGAAGTGTATTTAGTACAGAGAAATATACAGAGCGATTTATTAGAATGGGAAAGCTTCGCAAAAGGTAGACTAGGCACTAGTTTACAACCTGCAAAATTTATGTCTCCCTAGTATTGTTAAAAGTGTCTACATGTGTTTTTAAATGAAGTAGCAAAAATGGTACCAGTGAATGTAGATTAGGGTTTCTGATCGAGACTTCTCGAAGCGAGAATTCCCGGGAAATCTGGCCTTACTCGAGACGAGAAAAAAGTGTCGAGAAATCGAGAAATTTAAAAATCACGCGCATCTTATGTTCTTGATTGGAGTTCGTTTCGTTCATGCGTTCAATACGTTTCTCGACAAATAACTGAGCGGTTAAAGTGGTTTCTCGACTAGCTCATGATTTATTTATTTTAAGTTTTTAAGGCTTTAGTTTACTTTGACGATTCTTATTTTTTTAATGTACCTTGTTATAAGTCTGTGTAGAAATTTTATTATAAGCAGATACCTAATGTTGATGTTGATTCTGAAAATATTTAGTTCCTGTTCCTTTAGTTGATTATTTTATTTTTGTTTTGTTAATTAAAAGATTGTGATTATAAGTGATAAATTAATAGGAAGAACGCTTCTGTATCTTTAAATTAAAGCTTGTTTTTTTTAAAATTTCTTCGGTTAAATTCCTTATTTACTATTTGTTTAATTAAAAGACTGCATGATTAATGATTATTAATAATTATTGGAAGAAAGCTACGATTCAAAAACATTGAAATAAACATAAGTATAATGAAAGTGTTTAATAAAAAAACAAGTTAAAGGTTTTTAAGAAGAAGATACTCAAAGTTTAATTTAGTTTTGTTAGTAGAAGTAGAAACATATGTAATTAATAAAAATACTGAATAAATAATAAATGTTAATGATGATTGTTAAGTATAATAGCATGTTTATATTTCGCATTGCAATACCAAAATTATGACTTTTTTAAGTTTAAGAAATTTCTCGAGAATTCGAGAATTCCCGGGAATTCCTAGTCGAGAATTCTCGAACTCCGAGAAAAAAAGTGGCCGAGAAATCAGAAACCCTAATGTAGATCCAAAAATAAGAGGATTGATGCAAAAATACCTTATATGAAAGTTGCACGCCTCAGGTGATATACCCTCTTAAAGGAGAGGATTGAAATTCACATTTTAATTTTTTTCTTTAACATGGGGAATGCTAAAGACACGAAACTTGGTATGAGCATCCTACTAATAAAGAGACAACTTTCCAATATTTTTGGAGTGAAATAGTCAACCCCATTGCAGTATTTTATTAGAAATTTTTTATATGAAGCAAATTATTTATTTAAAAATATTTATTGTGAATACTGTTGAAACTGAGGAAGTTATACTGGAACATCTAGAACAAGACTGTGGTGCAAGCACAAGGCAGGTGCCGGCACTCTCACGATTGGGCTAAATTTTACCAGTTTCGCGAAGCCTTCTTTCCACCGAGGCCAATGTTTGTCTATGAGGAATCGGTCAATTACTATTTTTTCTGGATTCGAAAAACATTTGCAGCATGTCGACATATTCGTCATTGGTATAAATATTATTTGCCATAATTATTCTGATAATAAATTAATCAATTGGTACTAATTATTGGTTGACAGAAAGTGTCAATTTATTAATATGATAAATCACAATTTATTTGTTAAGACATTCGCCTACTTTATTTTTACAAATTTTCGCAATTACCCCTTTAGTGAACGATGACACATCTAATTTTTTTACTAGAAAACTATCGGTTTTATCGAAAAATTACAAGAGGTAAAAAAGTTGCGTAATAAATCAGTCTTCCCAATAAATTTTTAAATAAATAATTTGCTTCATATAAAAAATTTCTAATAAAATATTGCAATTTTATAAAATACGCCATTTATCAAAAAAATATTGAAAAGTCGTCTCTTTATTAGTAGGATGCTCACACCAAATTTCGTATCTTTAGCATTCCTCATGTTAACGAAAAAAATTAACTTCATATAAGTAAGCAACTTTCATATAAGGTATTTTTACTTCAATCCTCTTATTTTTGGCTCTACATTCACTGGTATCATTTTTGCGACTTCATTTAAAAACGTCCAGTATATAAACTTATTTTCACAAGCGTTTCCTATCGGAGTTACATCTGCGACCTTCGAAGAGGGTTGAAAAATAGTAAATACATCTACAAAAACTGTTGGAGATGACGACTTTCAACGTCATTACAAAGTTTTATCCTGTAACGCATTGATTGGTCAACACATTAAAAAAACAATTGATGTAATGAGTTCTACATCTAGTGCACTCTAGTGCGCCAATCGGGCCTCAAATATCATCACTTAAAATTTTACTTTCAGCCTCATAGGGGCGACAATGATCATGATTTCGTAGTACCTGCAACAGAGGTGCTCTTGCTATTTTTTGACATTTTTGTAGGTCTCAGTAGGGGCGGATCATCACATTGAGAATAGGTGAAGCATTGACTACTAAAAAGAAGCAAGCATTTTCAAGGTCAAACGGCTTTAAATGAATCTGGACATTTTTAATCGCATTTCCAGTATTACCGACGTTCGCGAGAAGGATTTTCATTTAGATTTTATAAAAATAACAATATTAGTTCGGCTTGTGGACTTCTGCGGACATTAACGCACACCGTACATGTATGTTCCAAAGAAGCTTCGTGATTACAACAGCCTCGCGTGACGTTCCCAAAATTGTTAAATCCCTCCTTATTCCACACGCCCGACTTTACACCCACAAGTAAACACCGCATACAGAAAATTTAAATAAACACTTCCACACGACCACTTATACTCCGAATACTATTCATTCCTAAACTTCCGAACGTACACGTTGGCTTTTGACTTCCCTTTTTTCCAATTCGAGAGAATAAGCCACAGGTCTCTTTTAATTTAAAAAATCCTTTTTGTCCTCAATTTTCCCTCTGGAAAATGACGTTTCCAATAAAATACATACTGGATCATACATAGGAAACATTTCTACAATTATTACACAAATCAAGTATTAACTAAGAACCGTTATAATCGTGCACTGGACGACGCGTATCGTATAAACTGTTTAAAGGCAGGCGATTGGCGACGACCATGCTGCTTCAATTTCCGCGTCACTCGTTCCCCCACGCCGTAGATTACTCCCGTGTTGGCCGCCTCGTTACCATGACAACCGCCGTAAACAACCTATGAAGAGAAGCAGAATACAGACTGATTTCGATCTGCGTCACTTGCTTATACTATACCTTATATGGTACGAGGTTGAGTTCACACTCAGCAAAGGCAATGTTTCTTTTAGAAGGCGTTCACCGTGCAACTATTTTGTTTATTTCTGCGTATTAAACAAACAAATACAATACATTTTCAATATAGAGTTACACCTAAATTATAAAATTTATATAAAATTAAATATAATTTTAAATTGCACAACCAAACGGAAACTTTAGCTGAAGCGGTCACTTGCGTCACCTGGCGAGCCGCCACTGGGCCTCAGGCAGTTAGTAGCAGTAGCCACGATATGTAGGAAGGTTATCGAAGTGTCAGTCACCGATTTCAATGAAGTTTCGCTGTGTTGTAGAGGACAAAAATATATTTTCTTTTCTGTCGATAAAAAAAGAATAAAAAGCACTAAAGTTTTTTCCCAATAACAGTTTTTTCAAGAAATCTCTGTTTCTATGCAATTTTTTTTATAATATCGGTATTATTAAAGAGATTTCTTGAAAACACTTTTTTTGGGGGAAAATTTAAGGGGTGCTTTATACCTTTTTAAAATATTTGTTGGCAGAAAAGAAAATATACGTGTCCTCTATAACATAGCGGAGTTTCTTAAAATCGGTGACTGACACTTCGATAACCTTCCTTGTCAGTTACATCTTTTACTTATATATAATTAACTTCATTCGTGGATTTAAGGGATCAAAGCAACTGGATCGTTCATCAGTTCTCGCATGTATGATGTACTGACGAGGACTAACAAACCCGGAATCGGTATAAGTGGTGTGTTCAATGGTATTGCTGGTGTAATATAATTCTAGTATGGCACATAGAGTAGTTGTATCCTGCTATATCCGAACTTGAAACGTTCAAAAACTCCTGGAGTTTGTCGAATTGACCCACGAGACGCGATAATGTAACTCCGCAGTCTAAAGTACGATGGTTTTCGGGTTCTGTCGTTGCCTGTGTTGCGTTTTCTTGGTCTTAGCTAGGAATCCTTGACATGTCCTTGTTGTTCATGTGCTAGACTCTGTGGGGGCGGACTCGCTATCAGAACCTCTAGGCTCGCCTTGATGTTCATTTCGGTTCCTCGGGTAATGGTGATCCTCTGAGATGTTCCGAAATGGCTGTAACTAATCATATTTAGTGCTCCCAAACGTTTTGCAGTCTTTCACTGTCGGCATCTTCAGTAGTGACTCTAAAAATGCTTCGCCACGACTGAAGCTCAGTAAGGATCGTGAAAGTCTTAAAACCACTAATCATATAAACTAATTATGAGATGTGGAAAACAGGGGTTTGCTCTTCCTCTACTTATCAAACGATTTGGGTATGCAACAACCAAATACTAAAGAGCTACCAAACTGAAACGACATAAACTAATTTGTTGTCTTAACAAAATAATATTTCTTCAAGCAGTTTTGGCAAATCTTCTCCAAGAAGTCTGTGATAAATTTCTCCAGTTAATATGACTGGAAAAAAGGATGGGACAATCAGACAACAATCCCCACCCCAACATTACAGGAATATTGATGTTGATGGCGACTTTCTGGCGCCGTATGTGGGTTTTCATAAGTCCATATATGGCATCTCTGGAGAAGTTAGCTTCATCGGTAGAGTATTTGAGCAAACAATCGTAGATTGGGTCCTATTCTTTCTTGCAGTTATACAGGGT